TTGGAATTCAATGAAACATCATGGTATTACCTGGTCTCCCCTGTTTATTGTCACAGCTCATACAATAAAGCAAACACCCATGATAAACTATGCTTTTCTATCTAGTAATTGCTGACTCTATTACTGTCACATGCCTGTCCTGTCTTGTGTTGCACATGGGTGTTTGTCATGTTGTGCCATGTGCTGTTGTGATTGTTGATCCCTCCCCCTCGTTACTTGATTAGTGTTTGAGTTGTTCCACCTGTCCCCTCTTGATTTGTTCCCTTTTTAAGTCTCCTCTTCTATGCAGTCTTTGTCGGTTCGTTGTTATACGTCATCCCAGTTCCTTGTTTATGTGCTTATGGTCAGAGTCTATGTTGGTTACGTGTTCATTTATTGTGTTTTCCCCCTTGTGGGTTTTTGATTTGTGTTTGTTTTGTTTTTGTTAATAAATCCTCCTTGTTTTTGCACTTGAGTTCTCCCTTCCTGTTTGTACCGTGACAGAACGAACCGACCCTTTGAGAACTCAGCAGCATGGAGGGTTTTGGCTGGAGGAATATGGAGGACACTTTTATGGACGACGATGACTTGGATTGCCCGGATAACATCATTTCCAAATTTGGATCTACCCAATTTTCTCCTTCCAGCTGTGACGGAAGGACTCTGCCCTGTAAGGAGTCTGGAAGAATGAACATTTTCCAGGCTCTCGCTTTGATGGCTCATCAAAGGGAGGAGTCGGAGCACTTGGCCAGGGTTTCTGAGACCCGAGGAGGTCACAGGAGAGATTTTCGGGGGACCCGCCAGGTAATTTTTCATGGGACCCGGGGAGGTTGTAAAGGAGGAGGAGGTGGTCGAGAGGAGGGTCAACATCACCCTCCATCCTGGCCCCCCTTCGATCCTGGACCGGTGGAGGGCAGTTTTGGACCAGCTTCTCGCCGTCATGGACGGAGAAGGAGGAAATGCCCGCCTGCCCAGCGAGAGACTGTTCACGTCCCGTCTGCCCAGCGAGAGACTGTTCACGTCCCGTCTGCCCAGCGAGAGACTGTTCACGTCCCGTCTGTCCAGCGAGAGACTGTCCACGTCCCGTCTGCCCAGAGAGAGACTGTTCACGTCCCGTCTGTCCAGAGAGAGACTGTTCACGTCCCGTCTGTCCAGCGAGAGACTGTTCACGTCCCGTCTGCCCAGAGAGAGACTGTTCACGTCCCGTCTGTCCAGCGAGAGACTGTTCACGTCCCGTCTGCCCGACGAAAGACTGATCAGGTCCCGTCTGTATCCCTGAGCTGGGACTATCTGGAGCATCTGTTTGAGACGTTGGAGAGACCTATGCCTGAGCCGGTGCCTGTCCCTGAGCCGGTGCCTGTCCCTGAGCCGGTGCTTGTCCCTGAGCCGGAGCTCGTCCCTGAGCTCGTCCCTGAGCCCGTCCCTGAGCCCGTCCCTGGGCCGATGCCGGTCCCTGAGCCGGTCCCTGAGCCGGTGCCTGTCCCTGAGCCGGTGCCTGTCCCTGAGCCGGTGCTTGAGCCGGTGCCTGTCCCTGAGCCGGTGCTTGAGCCGGTGCCTGTCCCTGAGCCGGTCCCTGAGCCGATGCCTGTCCCTGAGCCGGTGCCGGTTCCTGAGCCGGAGCTCATGTCGGTTCCGGACCAAGTGTTTGTGTCTGTGTTTGTGTCTGTCTTTGTGACTGTTTCCGTTCTAGTGTCTGTTCCCGAGCCGGTGTCTGTTCCCGAGCCGGTGTCTGTTCTCGAGCCGGTGTCTGTTCCTGAGAGGGCTTCACCGCCCTGGCCGCCCGAGGGGTCTGCACCGCCCTGGCCACCCGAGAGATCTGCTCAGCCCTGGTCGCCCGAGGGGTCTTCACCGCCCTGGCCGCCCGAGGGGTCTTCACCGCCCTGGCCGCCCGAGGGGTCTTCACCACCCTGGCCGCCCGAGAGGTCTTCACCGCCCTGGCCGCCCGAAAGATCTGCTCCGCCCTGGCCGCCCGAGGGGTCTTCACCGCCCTGGCCGCCCGAGGGGTCTTCACCGCCCTGGCCGCCCGAGGGTCTTCACCGCCCTGGCCACCCGAGGGTCTTCACCGCCCTGGCCACCCGAGGGTCTTCACCGCCCTGGCCACCCGAAAGATCTTCTCTGCCCTGGCCGCCCGAGGGGTCTTCACCGCCCTGGCCGCCCGAGGGTCTTCACCGCCCTGGCCGCCCGAGGGGTCTTCACCACCCTGGCCGCCCGAGGGGTCTTCACCGCCCTGGCCACCCGAGGGTCTTCACCGCCCTGGCCGCCCGAGGGGTCTTCACCGCCCTGGCCGCCCGAGGGGTCTTCACCACCCTGGCCACCCGAGGGATCTTCACCGCCCTGGCCGCCCGAAAGATCTGCTCCGCCCTGGCCGCCCGAGGGGTCTTCACCGCCCTGGCCGCCCGAGGGGTCTTCACCGCCCTGGCCACCCGATGGACTCTGTGTTTCTCCCTCACCGCCCTATAGACTCTCTGTTTCGCCCTGGCCGCCCGATGTCCCTCCCGTCCCTCCCTGGTCTATCCCTCCCGTCCCTCCGATCAGTCCCTTCCATTCCGCCCTGATGTTTCCTTCCTGCCCCGCCCTAGCCTGATGGAGCGTCTGGTAGCCGCTCCGTAGGGAGGGGGTTATGTCACATGCCTGTCCTGTCTTGTGTTGCACATGGGTGTTTGTCATGTTGTGCCATGTGCTGTTGTGATTGTTGATCCCTCCCCCTCGTTACTTGATTAGTGTTTGAGTTGTTCCACCTGTCCCCTCTTGATTTGTTCCCTTTTTAAGTCTCCTCTTCTATGCAGTCTTTGTCGGTTCGTTGTTATACGTCATCCCAGTTCCTTGTTTATGTGCTTATGGTCAGAGTCTATGTTGGTTACGTGTTCATTTATTGTGTTTTCCCCCTTGTGGGTTTTTGATTTGTGTTTGTTTTGTTTTTGTTAATAAATCCTCCTTGTTTTTGCACTTGAGTTCTCCCTTCCTGTTTGTACCGTGACAATTACTCCAACTCTGAGTGAACTCTCTGCTCCTCGTCACGGTGCGTCTCATGTGATGCGGTTATCACTCTACCCAAGTAGCAGTGCTTCACCTTCAGAGAATATAGTTCCCAGTATTTATAGGGTTAAAAGATGTCTGTGTTTCATATGGCCTTGTTATTTGTACAGTCTGTGACTATAAAATCACAACATGTAAATAGGAAAATGTTTGCGTTATTTTGTCTCTCATTTGGATTAGTATGCCAGCTGCAACCATTTACATCCAGTCTTTGTGCTAAGCTAGGCTAGCGGTGGGTGCGTTAAACAGACTTATAGCACGCACGGAGATGAAAAAGGCATGTATGGACTTATCTAACAGAACAGGCTAAAGCCCCAAAAAGTCAGAGTGTTCCTGTAACGCTGAGCATGTCGATCAATTTTTGTTTCTGCATAAAAATCTGAAAATGTAATAATTTAGAATGATTTCTACGTGGTAGAAATTACTTTATTTGGTGCACATTCCAACACTTAAGACCAAATTGTTAAATACTAAGTGTTTAAAAGAGTTTGAGAAAACAAAGTTATATTTCAGTCGTTACCGTTTCTGCTTTTATGAAATGTTTTAAGTTTTGTTTAGTCATTGAGCAGTGTAGACATGCTTAGTAGATACACTATATGGACAAAGTATGTTGACCCATTGACTTGGTTCCCCCTTTGCAGTTGCAACAACTTTCCCAAATACTATTGTGGATGTATGAGCATAAAATTCCACTGACACCCCACAATCTTGTGAAAATCCTTTCCAGAAGAGCGACAGTTAATGAAACTCCAAAGGGGGGACCAAGTCCATGTTAATGCATATGGATTTGAATAGCATGCCACAGAAGTTCTGTTCTTGAGGGTGTAATAGCATACTTTTGTCCATAGTTAGAGCCAGAAAGGTGTTGCACGATGCACTGATACTTCAAAATTAAAAAAAAATTAAACCTCACGATACCTAAATTTATTAGTATCGATACTTTTATGAATGACCGCGTTCCAGATTTGTAAGAGACGTATTTCATGTTGGTGTGTGCAACGCATGCTTCCAGTCCCTCCCTATGGAAGCCTTTGTTTTTTCTCCTCACGCACGTAGCAAAGAAGCTGCAGCTGTCATGATGAGACAAACACTATAGCGAGACAGCTGCATGCGCGAGCACAAGTGATACTGTGGCCACTGGTTAGTTGCGGAGTGGCAATCCGGAGATTCAGGACTTTTCCCGGTGGGCCAGTAGTGTTTCGAGGCCGCGAGGACTGGTCTGATAGTTATACTTTTCAAGTTCTTAGCAACACCATCCGGAGGCCTATACACAAAAGTCTCTGCAACGGTAATAGAATGAAGCGCGCGTCCGAATGAATACTGTGCGCGAGCCGCAAAAGACCATGCAAATGATAGCAGTGAAAAAGAGGGCTCCGCTTGATTTAAAATACAGATTTTAGCACTAGATCTCTTATTCAATAGCAAAATAAATTAATTATCTGCTATTTAACTGGAGATGTTTTATACAACTTTCACCCCAACTTTCATAGATAGCATAAATAATTTGCAAGCTGCTGAAATAAAGCATACAAAACATCAGCTAAAATGATCTAGGCTATATGATTATAATCAGAGCATGTGCATGTTTGTCATTGATTTATTTATATTAGGTTATTACAGCATTTAAAGAGCACAGACCTATGCAAAGGAGGTGCATGTGAATCGCCTTGTAAGAAATACTTTTCCTTTTCAGGAAAATTATCGGAAAAGTATCGAAATCGCGATTCTTGACCTGGTATCGGTATCGAAACAATAATTTTGGTATCGTGACAACACTAAGCCAGAGGCTCGGTCAAGGCTAGTTCAAAGTAATTTCTGTCTTGAGAAGAGCTACTGTTGACATACTAAGTCTTTACGACATTGATGGTCTTCCATTTTTTGCTCCAAGATATCCATGTCCTGGTAGTTTTGGAGGGGTAATATAACGTCATCTGGCAATGTGACCTCTTTTGTGCTTGATCGAGAAAGAGTTGCCACTGTTCTCTCCAGCATAGTCAGCCTGTCCTTAATCTCCTCTATTGTACTGACTAAATATCTGTCAATACCTGAAAAGGAAGAAAACAATTAAAACTGAGCACAGAGACCGTTTTAGCAGAATAATAGGCCAGCTATTAACTAGATTTAAGCCATTTACTCTTTTGCGCATGCAGGCCACATTAAAAAAAAATCAGTCAGTCAGTAAAAAAAAAAAATTGAATCTGGTAATAAATCATAATTGAGCATTAATGCCTGCAGTCTGAGCCTTTGTGGCTTTCTGTGTCACTTTCTCTGTACTATAATGATACATAGCCTTTACACATATACATGACAACTAATGTTGTTAAAATACTACTGTATAGGTGAAAGTATGAAATGGGCTAATGAAAAGAGATGCACAGATTGACCGGAATGGGCCAATTTTATGCCAGTCAATGCACTCATGATTACCATCCTGTAACATCAGCATCACAGCAGTTTCACACCGCAAGCGTGAGCGGCACATATTTTTCTCGGAGTGCATGTTAACAAATGAGTGCATTCACAATGGCTGCGTGAGCGCCAAGTGTGTGCAGTGATGCGTCACTGAGTCTAGTTTGTGTTGTGCTGCGCTGCTCACGCTCAATTATAGTGAAAGCACCCTTTTGATGGACAAAATAGAATTATTATTTGAATTATTTCTTATTTTATTTTCTATTTGCTCGAAATGCACAGAATAAACATGTAAAATTAATAGTAAAAAAAACATTTACAGAAGATATACACATTTAAGCTTATTTTTAATCATTCAGTTGCATTATAGCGATTATCTGTTAAAAAATGTTTGATTTTATATACAAAATGTTCTATTAAAGAAAAGATAGCAAATAAATGTTTGTGTGTGCTGTAAAGTGGTTAGAAAAAATGAAATCAGAATCGGCTAAAATAGGTATTGGCAGGTCAAACTCAATGAAAAAACAGAAATCAGAATAGGCCTAGTGTGCATCTCTACGAATGAAACAATAAAATCCACATAAAATACATTACAGACAAAATCCTAATATTATTAGGTAATGTAAGGCCTAGCCTAATAAGAAAGAAATAGATATTAACATTGAGTTCTTCTATCAAGAACAAATTCTTATTGAATAACCATCATTACAAGATGCAGCCACAAAGAATAAAAATGAGAACTTTTGCTTCCAAGGCTAGAGAGGTGTAAAACTTTTTACAGTCTACAGTCTTTTTACCTGCTGATAGAGAGTGCCTAACAGGACGGGTGAAGGCTGCAGGTGAAGGACGGCTTGCAAGTGGAAGGTTGATCTCAGGTGAAAGTTGAAGATGACTTGCTGGTGGAGGGTGACTCGCTGGTGGAAGGTGACTCGGAGGTGGAAGGTGACTCGGAGGTGGAAGGTAACTCGGAGGTGGAAGGTTGCTTGGAGACAAGAGTAACCAGAGAGTTATGACCAGAAGGAGCCAAACCCATGGGTGGTGGTGGAACTGGTGGCTGGTGTACGACTGCAGCTGTGACTGTTTGTGATTGTCTCTGCCGTTTCAGTGGAGCAGGTTCAGGCTCAAGATCAATGTAGCGTTTGGTAGGTCTGCACAAAATGAGGAAAAACAATCCAAGAATGCATTTAAACACACATAAAACATTAAACACACATGAGCTGGCTCATACTAAATAACTGTCTCATACCATTTTAGATATAGTAGTAGTTTGCTTTCAGGATCTTGTTCACAACATTTATAACTTAGAATGCACTATAATTTATGTTTAATATTTAACCTAATTTGCATAAATGTACTAGACAGAAAAACCAATAGAACAACACTTACTGTCTTGACTGCTGACTGCGATCTAATTCTTCAGGTTCACTGGCTACAATTAGATTTGTTTCTGCCATTTTGGCTTTATATCTTGCCTTTTCATAATCCACTGTAAGAAACAAAATAAATGTCAATAGGACTTTAATCTATTCACATTTTCCTTGTCACCTTTTATGCAATGCTTAGTTTAAGTTATTTACAATTCTGGGAGAGAAAAAAAAAATCTACCTGCTGTGGCCAAAACACAGATTTTATGTGCTTTCCAAGTCTCTCCAGGAACTTCATGCATCAACAAAGCTGCCTTCAGTTTACCAGGGTCAGTATAAGGTAGACACAGAGTTATGGAGGAGTCCTCATTAAGCCATTTGCTGCTCACAATCCCTACTGAGTAACCTGGGAACTCAACAATGTTGTACAGGGCCATCTCGTTTGTGCCAAGTGGCTCGCTGGTGGAGAGCGACTCGCTGGTGGAGGGCGACTCGCTTGTGGAAGACATTTACATACACACAAAAAAAAAAAAGAAAGAAGAAAAAACCCTCAGTAGCTATGGAGAAATGGAATGGCTGCCCATTCAGTGTCTGTGTGGATCAAAACATATTTTCTTGTTATATCCGACAGGTAGTTTATTTGGTCTGTACTTTCTAGATGACTTGCTTTATAAATACCGATGTCCTTTGAATCTAGAGGACTGGTGTAAAGGGAATCTAGCTTTGAAAACCTCTTGAAAATGATGTACTTCGTATTGGTCTTTTCATCACATAGTATGTTCTGTACCAGTCCCAATTTCCCTTGAGCCATCACACAGTTGTCCCCAGTAGTTGTAGCAACGCAGAACTGTTGAAAGATTGCCTTTTTATACTGGGTGCAGTGAGGCAGGTGAGGTATTGATGGACCACATGAGTGTCTCATTTTCAGCAAAGGTGTCTTGCTGTCTGTCTTCTTTGCTTTTTTTGATGTAATAAATGTCCTTTCAAGCGTAATTTGGTTAAATATTTGTTTAAGAACAAACTGTGGTTTCCGGGAAGCTTTTTTCAATTTCCTCAAGTAGTTTTCGAATGGAAAAGCTGACACTCCATCTAAAGCTCCATACCTCCTTACATCATCAGCCAAATGAGTCAAACTGTGCACATTATACACCAATTCATCAGCACCATACAACTGCTCAAATTCACTTAAGAAATGTTTCATGAGAGCATCAGCATAGTCACAGTAATAATTACACAAGGCAGGACAGAGCATCAAATACATGGCAATTGAGAGATTCATGAAATTTCTGTAGTGAGATGAGGAAAGGATGTCTTGTAAAACAATTGGGCCCGTATAAAGTAAGAACTGGCGGAATTCAGTGGCTTTCCACCGGTCAATGTCTGCTAATCCTCTTGGCTTTCTCTGAAACTCAACTGGCATATGCTGCCTTAGCTGCTGCAATCTTACAGAGATAGCCCAACCTACAAGAAAAATCCCCCTTCATCCAAAACCGTATCAATTTTCGAATCACTCCCAGGCAAACTAGGTGCATGTAGTCCAGAATGAACATTGTAACCATGCCAATGTTAATCCGTGCAAGGGGAGAGTTGCCCCTATGGTGTTCCTCATCCTCCTGTCTAGAAAACTGATCATCTGTGCGGAGTGTAGCCGTCTTCTCTGGGAAAGTCATGTGGTTCTTAACATAGACTCCTTCTTGATTGCAGCGCTCACACCCAAAGTACCCATTGTGTCCCTTAATGTTTTTAATAAACGATCTTGCAGGAGCATCGCAAATGAAGCAGTCAATCTTTAAAGTAAAGTTCTTTCCTGCGACCTCAAAGCCTTGCTCAAGGCTAGCTACCTCCTCCACAAAGTCAGACAAATACTGCTCCAAATCCAGAGGCTTGCTATTGCCACAAAAAATTCCAATAACAAAAGGTTCCTCTTCAAATGACACTTTTCCTAAAATTGGCCACAACTGCAAAGCAGAGCTCTTGTACAAGGGCAACCCATCAACATTAATTTGGAGGCCAATAGAGTTGCTATCTTCGTTGATGAGAGTTGAAATTGTCTGCAGGTGAGTGAGAATGCCAAAATGTATATATTCACCACCTTTGATGTTTTTAACATTGGCTGCTATTTTTGCAGTTTGTAGCAGGGTGCGAGCTTGTTTTGGCAAATTTGGATGGAACTCCTGTAATGCACAAAGAAGATCTGAGAGGGTGTTCTGTGGCACATCATTCCTCAGAGCCCACTCACACAGCACCTTTGATAGTTTTGCACATTCATCTTCCACTGTATCATCCTCATCACTACTGTCACCATCTTCCACTGCATCACCCTCATCACTAATGTTGCCAGAGTCATCAAACGAATTTAGACAATCCATGAAAACATCATCTTCTTCATCGACATCCAGAGATTCAGGATTAACTTCTCCCAAACTTTCACCACCATTAATCTCCTGGACTGAAGATGGTAAATCAAAAGAATTCAGGATTCTTAATGTGTGTCGGCGCTTAGTCCAATAGCTCCTTGAAGCCATGTCCTTCCCAGCCAACATTTGTATGTGGGGCCCATATGGGTATGAAATGGGCTGAAAAATGGGCCCCATGTAGGATTGTCCGCGGGTTACATAATGGCCCCATGTTAATTGCCCAGATAAATTTCATGTTGGATTGCACTTGGTACTACGCCGGACCCAAGTGGGCAACATGCACAAGACCCATCTCGGTCCCAGCTTTAACCCAGCCGATATTTATATGTGGGGCCCATGTGGGTTTGAAATGGGCTGAAAAATGGGCTTTGATTGGGATTGTCCGCGGGTTACATAATGGCCCCATGTTAATTGCCCAGATGAATTTCATGTAGGATTGCACTTGGTACTAGGCCGGACCCAAGTGGGCAACATGCACAAGACCCATCTCGGTCCCAGCTTTAACCCAGCCGATATTTATATGTGGGGCCCATGTGGGTTTGAAATGGGCTGAAAAATGGGCTTTGATTGGGATTGTCCGCGGGTTACATAATGGCCCCATGTTAATTGCCCAGATGAATTTCATGTAGGATTGCACTTGGTACTAGGCCGGACCCAAGTGGGCAACATGCACAAGACCCATCTCGGTCCCAGCTTTAACCCAGCCGATATTTATATGTGGGGCCCATGTGGGTTTGAAATGGGCTGAAAAATGGGCTTTGATTGGGATTGTCCGCGGGTTACATAATGGCCCCATGTTAATTGCCCAGATGAATTTCATGTAGGATTGCACTTGGTACTAGGCCGGACCCAAGTGGGCAACATGCACAAGACCCATCTCGGTCCCAGCTTTAACCCAGCCGATATTTATATGTGGGGCCCATGTGGGTTTGAAATGGGCTGAAAAATGGGCTTTGATTGGGATTGTCCGCGGGTTACATAATGGCCCCATGTTAATTGCCCAGATGAATTTCATGTAGGATTGCACTTGGTACTAGGCCGGACCCAAGTGGGCAACATGCACAAGACCCATCTCGGTCCCAGCTTTAACCCAGCCGATATTTATATGTGGGGCCCATGTGGGTTTGAAATGGGCTAAAAAATGGGCTTTGATTGGGATTGTCCACGGGTTACATAATGGCCCTATGTAAATTGCCCAGATGAATTTTATGTAGGATTACACTTGGTACTAGGCCGGACCCAAGTGGGCAACATGCACAATACCCATCTCGGGCCCAGCTTTAACCCAGCCGACATTTGTATGTGGGTCCCATGTGGGTTTGAAATGAAAAGTGGGCTCTGTATGGGATTGTCCGTGGGTTCCATAATGGTGCCATGTAAATCGCCCAGGTGGGTTTCATGTAGGATCGCACTTATAAACAGGTGGGCCCCAACTGGGCCACATGCACAAGACCTATCTTGGTCCCAGCTTTAGTTTTTTGTGGGTACTACAAGGTTACTATATGGGCTGAAATATGGGCTTTAAGTGGGTTTGTCCATAGGTTCCATGCTGGCCCCAGCAACTTGCTGGATTTCAGGATTCAGGATTTCTTTTATACAGGATTTCACAGGGCTTTAGGTGGGGCCCAACTAGGAATCATATGCATGTGGCCCAATTAGGGATCATCTGGGCTCCATCTAAATGAGTAGCAACACCACACAAACAAGTTTTAAAGCATTAGAGCACACAGTGATATTGAAATATTTTCAATTTTATTAAAATTACTCATCATCATATTATGCTATATTCTGAAATTCCAGGGACAATATTTAAAGAAGCAGATTTATGTCAGATTAAAGACTATCTATTTAATACCTATTTGTTAAAATACATATTTTGAACCTGTATTTGACCCAGTCTTTACTGAACATTTGAACAGGATATAAATTGGTGACAGTTAGAAGAAGCAGCAACTATACAGTACATTTATCAGTACAGCTTACACTGCAGACAGTCATTTGCGCATCTAGACACTCTCCTCCTCCATCTCTTGTCCTGGACTATTTTGAGAGTTCCCTCTCAGTTCCTTGCCAGTTGATCTGTGTTGTCTTCTTAAGAGCCTCTGCAAAACATTTTTTTTTTTGGGGGGGGATTTTGATTTTAGAAAAATCATGTTACTTACACGTCACAATACCTTATGACAGAATAACAATTTCTACTCAGGATAAAAAAAAAACAGCAAAAAAAATATATAGGAATGGTGACGGTTTTGGAATGTCACTGGAAGGGCATTTAGGAAATCAATAAAAAACAGTTTATAAAGTATGCATAATAAGTATAATGATTTATGATTACTTTTAAAGTAAAATTAGGAATGCTCCGATCAATCGGCCAGATATTAGGGTTAGGTTAACTAAGTAAGTAAGTAAAAGTTTATTTATATAGCACCTTTCACAGGTACAAGGCAACAAAGTGCCTTACAACAAAAACATTAATATCATAAAATACACACAATAAAAGCATAGACAGTACATGACCATATCATGTAACACAGGTACCTAATTAAAAGCCTGAACAAATAAATGAGACTTTAGTCTGCATTTGAAGGCATCAACAGAGTCAAAAGAGCGCATATACAGTGGGAGGGGGTTATTAAACGCCTTCTGAAGCAAAGCCATGAGTTTGTGTAAGAAAAATATTCGGTAACGCTTTAGATTACAGCCCGGAATGTACTATGTAATTAAGAGGAATTTACAGTGTAACTTTCTGCAGTTATAGTGTACCTATAAAGGACTTGCATGTAAGTATATGGGTAAAGTTTTGGGAATAATGGGGTAACAACCAGGAGAATTAAAAATATATATTTATACTGCAAGTATTATAGAAATAAGGGTTACTTATTCTACT